AGAGGAGAACAAAGATTTGTTACCGAGTAATATGATCGAGTGGCTCTGAATCAAAAACCCAAGGACTAGAAGAAGATTGGGTCGGACCGAGCAAAAGATGTACTGTGTGTGCGACAGACACGGTGGAACTAGAAGACTATTGATCCTTATACCATTTGAGAAATTTGTTGAACATAGCGAGATGTGTCTGATGAAATAGAAGAAGGAGGATCCTTAGCAGATAAAGGTAGGGAAAAATCAGTCTGAGCAACTGCAGTAGATCGAGTAGGACGACCATGTAATGCATAACACTTGTCAATCTTGTGACCTAGTTTGCCACAATGTTCACACTCATGTAATGCATAACACTGGTCAATCTTGTGACCTAGTTTGCCACAATGTTCACACTTAGGACGCCCTTTTCCCTGTTTGCGAGGGCGAATTCGATCATCACGGTGAGATACCAATGGAGAAGAATCATTAACAGAAGCAGGTGTGTCAGGGTTGAGTTTTGCTGGTATACGCAAAAGAGTGGAGCAGGTTGATGTCAAGGTGGGGACAACCGGAGAACCCAAAATCTGATCACGAATATGTGAATATTGATCAGCAAGTTCGTGTAATGCCCCTAGCATGAAGAACTTTGATCGTTGTCCTATCTCGGTGGCAGGGTCGGGGGAAGGAGGCAATAACTCATTGAACTCATGAAAAAGAGCATGAATTTTGCCCATATAATCAGTCATAGAATCTTGATGTTTAGAGGCAATAACATCTACAAATTTAGAACAGACATCATAGAGACGTTGAGTATCATTGGTGTATAATAACTTGGCATGTTCTCAGATTTTGGCACATGTTTCGTAGGAACGAAAAATTTGTTTTAACGAAGGATCAAGAGTACCCTTGAGAACCACGCATAATTGAGCATCAATGGTGTCCCAACGGTCTTCCTCACCAGGAGTGAGAGTAGGTGCTTTCGGGGCAAGATGATCAAGATACTTCTGACTCTTAAGCCATAATCTGATGTCTGATGACCATGTGGCATAATTAGGGCCAGTTAACTTGTCAATGGATAAGTGCACATTAACATAGTTAGTGTAGATGGAAGGATCGAGACGCAGATCTTGACGGAATTGGAAGTACTAAAAGGAGCGGAAGAACTCATAAAGGGCGGAGGCGATAGTGACAGCGGCGTGAACCAGTACACCAGGTAAGTTCCCAGGAAAGAGAGGTGGGTCACTAATGGACACGCTTAAATACCAAGTCTTTCCTTGTCAGAACTTTCCTAGACATGCACTTTCACACTACCAAATAACCGACAACGATAGCGGCGGTGGTGACGGCTTCAATAGTGGTCAAAGGCGGAAAAAAATTCAAAATAACCTTAAGCTCTAGATACCATGTTGAATATAGAAGAAATAGAGTTTGGGATTAATCTCCCTTGTGTATAAATCACACATAGGGTAGTCTATTTATAGTAGAGAGATACAACTAAAAGAGTAACTGAAAGTAACAGAATAAACAGAAAATATTGTTAGATATTATTGTTTGATATTATGGTTAATATCTAACAATATCTTAACAATATTAAATAATATCTAAACAATATCTAACAGGTTCAAATGGGTTGTTATGTTTTAGCAACCTAGAGATTGATAAAGGTGACAATAGCCATGAGAATGATGGTCATTGTATGGCTTTGTTAGCATAAGAGCTAACCAAGATGAATTTACCCGTCAAGTTTTTGAAATAACTTGTGAGACTTTGTATTTATATTCCTCATGTTTTCTTTCATCACTTGAGTTTCAGTCAAGAGACTAAATTGGTTGGTTATTCTTGATTGATCATCCTTCTAATCTCTTCTTTAAGATGTTCATGACTTTTAAGAATGTTAAGATAGGTTGTATTAAGATACAAATTGAGAGTGGGGACAATGTTTTTTTAACACAGTTTTCTTTTTACTATACTTTCAATCCTTTTATATATTGATATTGATCACATTCATAGATAAACACATTAGATTAAAAGATGTTAGAGATTATTGACAATTCCACTATTAGTCACCTAAACCGGTAGACTAATATATCTAAAATTGGACCTATAATTAACTCAATAAATATATAAATTTAAGATTTAAAAGTTTACGAGAGATCTAAACAAATTTAATAAAATAATATTTTTATAATAAAATAAATTTATTATTATCAATAATTTGTTATAAAAAAATTACAATAATAATAAAAGTTATAATGATTATAATAAATTATAATAAAGAATATAAATATAAAATATAATAAAAAAATATTATATTATTTATTAAAAAATGTTTTTTAATTATTTATTTTTTCGATTTTATTAGTTGGGTATCAATTTCAATTTAATTAAAATGTAACTTTTTTAAAACAAGAAATCAGATTTCATATTGGTTCGGTTAAAACCCACCTATTGGATTTTCTAAACACCTATATAAAATATCTTAACAAAGAAATGGCGGAGAGGTAAAAAGAAAGAACAATAATAATAGATAGAGTTTGGATGGTATCATTATGTTTTTGAATCATAATAATATGTATGCTGGGAAATTAGTGTGATGATTTGAGTACCTTTGTGGAATATATCTCATGTTGTACTCTTTAGAAGAATGCAATAGCAATGGTTCGGAAATTTTGGTGAGTGATTATTCTTTTTTTCCTTCATTTAAATTATTGAAAAAAATAAAGCCAAACAAAACATAGCAAAATAGAAGAGAATATCAAAATTTTCAATTTTTTTAAGTAAAATTTACAATTATTTTATTTTAAATAATCAAATTATTTTAATAAATTTATAAAATATTGATTTCTTTAAAAAATTTATATGCAAACAATATATTTTATCATAAAATATTACAAAAATTTTATAGAAACAAATTATACTTTGTAAAATTCATTATCTAAGTATAGGAATGAAAAAACAAACTCGACCCATAGTACGAAAATCCACTTAAAAATTGGTAGGATAAATTAGTGATTTTAGTTGGGTAACCTATTTTGTCTTATCTCACATAATTTATCAGTTGGACAGATAACAATAAGATAAAAGAGACTAAGTCGTTGATCCATTTAAAAATAATATTTATACTAAAATTAAAATAAATAAATTATAATTAAAAATAATATATTTTGTGTGTTATGTTATTGAAATATGTAAATATATTATAATATTAAAATTTAAATTATAAAAATTAATTAATTAAATTTAAATTATTAATTATAATTAATTATTTTAACATCTAAATATATTAATCTGTCATCTACTCCATCTTAATTATGGCGGATGAATCTATTCTACTTTATTTGTATGAATTAAAAAGGGGATTAAAATGGATAATTATTTGTTCTTGTGATAGACATTACGGTGAAAATTAAGATAATCTTGTATTTTGAAGCATATGTATCACCTTTCAATTTAGTCTGTACGTTGAGGGTTTTATCCCGTTTTGCTGCCCAATCAAAATTGCTTAGTGCCCTTCTTTTACATTAAACACAATTGGAACTTGGAAGGAATGGGGTGGAGTTGTTTGTAATTATAATGTAGGAAACTTTCATTCTTACTTTTACTACAAATTTTTAAAATTAGTTTATATATATCTATATTCTAAAATTAATGTATTTTTTAAAATTATATATTAAAATATAATATTAAGTTTTTAAATTTTAATAAATTAAAAAGAAGGTTATGGAATAGATTGGTTGATGATTTATATGATAGACTATTTAATATATATATATATATATATATATATATATATATATACTAAAATTAATGTATTTTTTAAAATTATATATTCAAATATTAAGTTTTTTAATTTTAATAAATTTAAAAGAAGGTTATGTAATAGATTGATGGATGATTTATATGATAGACTATTTAATAATATTTTGAACATGTTAAATATAAATTTGATAAATTAGAATTTATTTTAATATTTATTCTTTTTTTTTTGAAATTTTTCTTTTTATAAACTATAATTTATTTGATAAAATAGAGTTTTTTCCTAAACATTTCTAAAGTGGAATCTTTTATATATATATATATATATATATATATATATATATATATATTAACATCAAAATAAAAATTATAAAATATTAAAATAATTATTGATAGCAAATAAAACAATAGCAATTTTCTTATTTTGTGTTTTATTTCAAGAAAATATTACAACAAAAATTATAATTTTTATTTTATAAAGGTGAAACTAAAAAGAGAAAAATTTTAAAATTTCAATGAGAAAATTTTATAATTTTTAATTTTTAGATAAAATTGTGAAAGAGAAAATAATATGAAAGTAAATAAATAATAGAGAAAAAAAGTAAAAATATAAATGTCACTATTTCTGAAAATCAGACTTAATTAACTATTCAACTAGTCCAATTAAAAATTATCTAAACGCGAATTTAATATTTTCTAAAGAGTTAGATTTTAATTGAACTAATATAAAATAATAAAAATTTGTACAAAATAAAAAAATTAACTAATTTTTTAGATTAAAAATCAATTTTAATAAAAAAAATAAAAATCAATTTTTTATAAATAATATAAAAATATAATAATTTTTTATTCTTTATTTTATATTAATAATGTCAATTTTAACTAATAATTATTTTAATATATTTTTATCTTATTTTAATATTTATATTTTTTTTCACTTTACTAATTTTACATTTATAATATTTATCGTAACTTAAAATAATTATAATAATAATTTATAATATATATATATATATATATATAATAAAATATTATTTTGTTAAATTAGATTAGATAAATTAAATTTTTATTTATTTTTAAATTTTAAATTTATATATTTATTGATTTTAGTTATCTGTTTGATTTTAAAAATATTAATAAAAATATAAATATTTTATATAGAGGAAAGTAAAAAAATATATAAATATGTAAAAGTAAAAAAAAATAATTATTATTATTATTTATTTTAATAAAAATGTAATAATTTGAAAAATAAATTTTGGGGGCCGAACCCCTCGGGATCCACCTCTGAATGCACTGCTTTGCATAATCATTCATGCCATTAATGTTTCTTCGAACCGTGACAACATAGCCTTGCAGGCTGAACTCACTCACGTAAATGATGTCTCTATGTCGTCTCGTTGTAAAGCAAATTTTGTTTTTTTTCTTTTCTTTTTAATTCTCCATTTTATGAGGTAATATATTATATCTATCATTCTTTATACTTTTCATGTTTTTTTGTTAAAAAAAAAAAGATTTTACAATTTTAATTGAAGATAAACGACATTTTTTTTATTTTTTTATCTTTAAGTAAAATATATTTGTATTATCCTATTTAATAATTGATATATAAAGAATATTCATAATTATAGGATTAAAACACGAATAAAAAATTTATAAAAGACAAAATGAGAGAGCAAAAGAAAATAATACATGTATCATGGATAAATTACCATTAAGGGATGTCAAAAAATAATAAATATTTTTTGTGTGAAGTATTAATATACTATTTATGATAAAATAAAATAACATTCATAAGAACTAATCATATTTACAAATTCAAAACATATTTTAAACCTTCTTTTAAATTGAGTTTTTCCATTAATCAGCATATGATATGTGTGCATATATTAATCGCTGTTATCATTGAACCAAAATCACAAATGATTGATGAGTTATTAACACCAGAATATTAGGAAACAGTTAATGTTGAGACATTGAAACGTAGGATAGGTTGCTTAGTTATTAACTAACCTAATTATGAGTTGTTTGAGATGACACGTTGTTTTATATTAATATTTTGTATAATTAATTGTATTTTGTTTTGTAGTGCGAAAAACAGAGAAAATGTACACGTTCTATGACTACTTGTCATCCTTTATTACAATGTGTACGAAGTCAATGATTTGGAGCTGATGCTGACGCCTGTCAGCTAAACCAGAGGGCTACTTTGAAGCTTTCCAACTTCTAATCCAACTAGCAAAATCATCTACCATTTATGGTCCAATTTTTTTAATATATATATTTAAATTAAATATATTTATAATTTTGACTTATTATTTTTTTATTAATTTATTCTTTATTAATAATATCACTTTCCTTCTATCCTTAATATAAGACATTTTATCACACATATTATTCAAATTAATGTACTACATTAAACTCCATATTATTATAATGACTTCTGAATTCTTTTTCTTATTATTTATTGATAAAAAAATAAACATACTATAAAATGGACAATCAAACAAAAATTAATATTATATAAAAACTATAAAATATCTTATTAAAAAATATCAATCACTTTTTAAATATATCTTATGATAAAAACAATATAAAATGTAGAAGTTTGTAAAATATAGAAATATATATATTTAAACTTTTTATTGAATTTTAAAGTTAATTTTATTGATAAAATATTGATTTATTGATGATTTAAAAAAAACTCGATAAACAAAAAATTGAAGAAACTAATATTTTTTTAAAAAGCTAAATATTAGTTTTTAGTCCTTTATTCTTTGGTGTTTTATCGTCTTTTTATACGTTAAGTTTTAAAAGTTTTTATATGATGTTTTATATTTTTTAGAAGAATTGTTTTGGTTTTTTCAACTAAAATATTAAATAGGCTAATAGAGTCTACGTGTTTGTTAATAAAATTTTAAAAGACTTAATATAGTTATTTACCTTTTTAAAAAAATTATTTTTGTACTTATGTTTTTAAAAGGTTTTTTACGTGAACGTAAAATGAATGTTGAACATTTCACAAGAATAAAAATAAGAGTAAAATTAAAAATAAAATAAAATTAGTAATCATAAAAAATTAAGTCAAAATCTTAAAATAAAAAATAACTACTCACATAATTATGAAAATTCCAAAAATAAAATATGTTAATTATCTAATCATCAATCCTCCAAAATTCATATTAAAAAATTAGTGCAAGAAGTGAACTAAATAAAATTATCGATTTAACAACCTTAAATCAAAACTTAAATAATAACAATAAAATATCGTTAGAAATATTTAACAACGTGTAAATTATCCTGCTTGAATATACATATTTTTAGTGATAGATTTTTGTTATTAATTTAAGAGGACCAAATAATAAATAAATATAAAAAAATAAAAGAATAAAATTATAAATATATAAAAAAATAATTATTATTAATATTGGAATCAAAATTATAAATCTATATGTTACCGTTACAAAATTTTGAGAAAGATAAGCTCTCAACTCCAAAAAAATCCCCCGTATTCTTATAAAATAACAACCATGGAAAAATATGCAAAACAAAATTTAAATAATATATTATACAACTTATCCTAATTAAACCATCATTGATAAAAGACTAAAATGTTTTCAAATATAGTATATTTTTGTTTTATTTACTTTTCATTCATTCATGTATATTTTGAAAATAAATTCTAAAATTAAAAAAATATATTAATATTTTTGTGGTGCTCCACACAACGAAGAAGGAATAATTTTTTACTGAGAAATTGTTAAATTGGGTGAAAGCTTAATTTAATTCTCTTATGTAGGTTAGTTTACACAAGAATTAGAAATTAGAAAATAATTAGTACAGATAATAAAAAATATATTTATCTTATTCAATAATAAATAAAGTGATTAGGGCAGAAGTATTTTTTTAATTGGCCTACATGTTTTATTTTTACCATAAATATGAAAAAAAATATAAGAAAAATATTATTTTACAAAATTATTTTTCTCTATTATTTATTTTTATATTTTATGTATAATTTTAAATTATATATGATAACTTTCAATTATATTATTTTAATAAAGTGTGATAAATATAAAAATAAAATAATTTAACATATATATATATATATATATATATGTATTAACCTGATATTATTTTATTAATTTAAATTCAAATATTTTATAATTATGTGTTAAGAAATATAATTTTAAAATAAATTTTAATTTAAAATGTTAATTTAAAAGTTATTTTATTTATAAAAAATAATATTATATAAAATTTTTATAATTATATAAATATTTAATTTAAATTTATTTATTTATTATTATTTTAAATAAATATTTTTTATATTATTTTTTTCTCAAATAAATAATTTTTTTCTTTATTATTTTTTGACTTATATATGGATCGGATTCTTAAATAAGAATTATGTTGGATGTGGCTTAAATATTTGATTGAAAATAAATATTAATTTTAAAATTGTTATTAATGAGATTAGTTATTAATAAAATAAGTAAGTTGAATCATGAAAAATCGAAGTTGGTATTAAGTCATTAAAGTAAGTAATAGATTTTTTATAGGAGTCTATATTATCACGAGAGTACGATGCTTTTAAGTGTAGTCAAGAAAAGTTGACCTTTCAAAGAGTTATTATTCGAGTATACTTCAATAGGTGAAGTAATCTTAAAGATGTTTTTCTATGTTTAAGATTTATGGGCAGGGGTCGATGAGAGGTGTGAGACAATTATAGAGAAAAAATTCATCAAGTATTCTTAACATGAATGGATGCTCATATTTTGAGCATGTTTGTGTAGTAACTCGGGTTGACACAACAGATTTTGACTTTTTTTCAGTTTTGTCTCGATCAATTTTTTATTGAATAATAGTTACAATGTTTCGTATTTTGTATTAGTATGTCGTTGGAGCTCAAATGTGATGAGCTTTGAGACTTTCAATAAATATAAGTAACTCTATAATATATAGAAAAGAATAGTTATTTTATCGTCTAATCTCTAAATAATAGGTGTAAAAAAAAAAAAAACCTGCAAAAAATTATTGATAATAATGACTAAAGTACATAGGTCATTAGGAAGAAAAATACATAAACTTTCATAGAGTAGTAACATAACTGTCTAAGATTTAAAAAATATTTTCTCATTTATTAGATATTTCCAATATATCAAGTGGTTAAGAATATTTATTTGGATATGTGGAATATTTTAAATATAACGATAGGTTCGAAATATTTATCTGAATATCTTAAATATTTATATTGTACTCCTATTTTCTAAACCGGGACAAGATTAATTGTTAATAAAAAGAGTAAATATTTTTATTAATAACAAATATACTAATTTTCATTATTTTTTATTTTTTTATCACCAAACATGCATTTATACGTGGAAATCTATTTAACGGAGAGAGAAAATTTTGTATAAAATACAATCGCAAAAGAAGTTATTTATGATAGAGAAAAGTAAGAAAAAAATTATTATTATTTTTGTGTAAATTGAAGTTTACTTGTACGTAAATTAAGTAGATTTTATATATATATATATATATATATATATATATATATTTTTTTTTTAATTTATATAAATTAATTATAATTATCAATAAGTTTTTTTTTAGTTTTGTATGCACAAGTTATTATCATTTTTTTTAATTTTCTGATTATTTATTGATTTTTTAATTTATATGTTAATGATACGCAGAGTGGATGCAAGCTCTAAGACTATAATAAATTCAGTTTGAATTTCAACTCCTGACACGTCTTACTTACTACGGGAAATTCGTGAGAGTCATCCGATCTTAGCGGAATACGCGTTTTTTGTTTTTTTTAATAATAATAAAAAAAAATCGAATCAAATTCAAATTTTGTTAATATTCAAAGGATGAAACTTTAATATAGTTTCTAATTTCGTAAAATTCGGAATGTATCATATTTTGTAATTTATTCTTTCTATATGAGATATCAAGAAATTGAAGGGAATTTCTTCTAGATGTGTTTCTTGTGGAATTTTGATCGATTCCGATTCTTAAGAGATTTTGTTCTAACCAAAACTCAACCACACAAGTTCTTTTTACTTAGGCTAGCAAACGTTTTTTCAATCGAGATGCATATGAGAATTGAAAATATCACAATATCGAGAAAATCCCACTAACATGTCATGACTTATCAAAAGCACTATTTTTGATATTTTGTATTTATATTACTCGAAGAGAAAAAGGGCAGTAAAATATCAAATCAAAAAAGCAGTATCGAATATTAAATTGCGAAGAAATATAAAGTACGGAAACCTTAAACTTGCATTAAGTGTAAATGACAAGAAATTGAAATTGCGGAACTAACGGGAAATCGAGATTGCAGAAATATAAATGGTAAGAAATCGAAATACGCAGAAACAGTAAATAACTGGAAATCGAATTTGCATCGAAGTTAAAGGACAGGAAATTTAAATGCAGAGAACTTAACTTCCATTAAATTGAAATTGACCGAGAATCGAAAACACAGAAACTTAAAGTTGCTAAACATAAAATGCATCAAAGTAAATTACCAAGGAAAATAAAGAAAGCGGTAAAGGTACTCAATGAGCGTGGAAATCCAGATCGCCAGAAACTTCATGATGTTCGTCGTTCTCCGGTAGACTTCTCACTAGTATTCTGTTCTCTGCCAATTTTCCACCCACTCCCCTCTCATCTTTCGCTCTATTTATAGTGTCTTTTCAAGTAGTTTCTTAAGAGCAGTTACCGAAAAACTGCTACCACGTTCTCTATGCACGTCTTTTTGCAGTTTTGCTCCTAGCTCTGTGGTTTAGAAACTGCATCCACGTTCCCATGCATGAGGTAACTGTTCCCTTGACCTTCGGCCTTTGCCACCGCTTACTATGTGCGATGTATATGTCGACTGTTCTTTTTAGCCAAAATTTCGAGATTCACGTATGTTAGCCTTCCCTTCGATTTAGACTTCGAGACTTCGAGACTTCGAGAGTTTTGGATTGCTTTTGATTCTCGGTATCCTTAACGTTACATGATTTTGATTTCTTGCTTTCCTTCACCAACGGACGTTAAGTATTATTCCCTCGATTCTCGATTTCAATACTCGATATGTTTTTATCTTTGTGGTCACCAGGTGTCTTGTCAATTTTATCGATTTTTCAATAAATTGTATGGTTCTCGATTTTTGCTTCCCTTCACTTTTTCGATCTTTTTATTGATCTCTTACTAACAAAATGCCCCCTTGGAAGGATATAAATAGTTTCCATTTATATTCTTTCAACACGATTCCCGCCTTTGCTTATTGGAGGCCCACAATAACCTAGGGTTTAGGGTTTCTGGGGTTTTTAGGGTTTATGGGGTTTTAGGGTTTTTCTACTTTATGTTACCATCACGTCAGTCTGCTGCCTTACCTTACACGCCACATTAATTGCCCTCGCTTCTGTCATTTCCAACACCCCAGGTAGGTTTCCCTTTTAAACTCTATTGGTTTTTTACCCTAGCTTTTTACACGAACTTTAACCCTTTGCAACTTCATCTTCTACCTGCGTTTTTGCCTTCATCCTTGCACTTCCCTGTTTTCCTTTAAGCTACCAGTAACTGCAATGGCAACCTCTTCCAAATCTTCTGACTTTTCGACCCCACCCCTTCCCTTATTGGCGTCTAGCCTGCTGGAGATTAATAATCAGAAGTTTGCTCCAGTTCCTTTAATGGAGGAAGCTTCTCAGAAAATCGCTGAGACGCAGGTACTCATCCTTTATTCTGCTGATGGTATAAATTTTGCTTTTGGGGGTCCTATTCGTTCTAGTGGTGGAACTTTCTCATCCCTCAACCTCTCGAATAGCCAGACTCTTATTCACCAAGCTGAAGTTCAGACTGATTTTTTGAATATGGTTTCTAAAGTATATCGAACGGGTCCCCCTTTCAAAAAACCCTCGTATATTAGGTGGTTTGATCGAGTGCAAACCAAGTTTGAGAACCATTGGAGGGATGTGGGGATTTTTGATTTCTTGTATTTGTCTCGATGCGACTTGTCTCATTTAGATATGGCTATGTTTTTGTCTGTTGTGCATCTATGGAATAAGGACTTGCATGCTTTGGAGTTACCTTGCGGTCCCTATTCGCCCACCCTCTTTGAGATTGCTGCTATTACCGGTTTGAAACCCACCGGGGAAAAGTATTATAAGGGTGCTTACCCTTCGGATAATTCCCTAAGGTCCAAAGTCGATTGGGAATCGAAAGCTTATGACCACTTTCTCGAGAGACATTTTATCGATGACCCAACGATTGCCGTTTCTGGTGAGGAGCACGTGGCCTTCTTGGTCTACTAGTTGTGCACTCATGTTTTCTGCCCCCGATCAATCCAAATTTCCTCCCACCTCTACCACCTTGCCTACCTTCTTCATACTGGCCAGCCTAGGATATGTCTAGCCAAACTTTTGTTAGCCCATGTATATACTGCACTCGATGAGGCTGTCGAGATTTTGAGTACCCCCAAAGCTTCGGGAAATTTTTCTGGCCCTATTTGGTTTATACAGTTATGGATGAATTCAATTTTTGAGAGTATCCTTCCCCCAACTTCCACCATCCCCCCAAGTGTAAATATAGAAGGTGCTCGATTGTCTTCCCATCACCCTCACCACAAGCCCGACGAAACGGCTTATTGTAGATATCTTAAATTTTTGCTAACTAGGTTTAATTTCGATTCAACTTTGGCTCCTTTTACTGTGCATCTTGGAAGAATTAGTGACCAGCTTCGAGGGCCAATTTGGTTTAAGTCAAAATTCCCTGCCTCAACCCCTGGGTTACAATCAGAGTTGGTCGATGTATGGAGTAATTATTTAACTCAGGATGTACTAGTATCGGGTTTCCAATCTAAGGATTTTAAGCTTATCACATATTACCCTCAACTTTTTTCGAGACAGTTTGGTTTGAGCCAATCCTTACCCTTCTTCCCCCTTGATACCTCCCCAAGGTCCAAGTTAAGTGAATCGACAATCGGACGGGAGCTGACCAAACAATTACCACAAACCCCACTACTTTTTTATCCCTATGCTTTCGAATCAAATTATTTATCCACTTGTGGGTTTCT